CCCTGCACACTGACTGACTGAGCGTACTGCTTACTGACACCCTGCATACTCACTGACTGAGTACACTGCTTACTGGCACCCTGCACACTGACTGAGCACACTGCTTACTAGCATCCTGCACTCTGACTCAACACACTGCTTACTGACACCCTGCACACTGATTCAGCACACTGCTTATTAGCACCCACACACTGACTCAACACACTGCTTACTGAAGCCCTACACACTGACTGAGCACACTACTTACTGGCACCCTGCACTCTGACTCAACACACTGCTTACTGACGCCCTGTACACTGACTTAACACATTGCTTACTGATGCCCTGCACACTGACTCAACACACTGCTTTAGTGAAACCCTGCCCACTGACTGAGCACCATGCTTACTGACACTCTGCCCACTGGCTCAACACTGTGGTTACTGGTGAATTACACACTGACTCAACACAGTGGGGCACTGCATGCTGACTCAACACAATGCTTACCAATGCACTGCACACTGACTGAAGACACGCTTACTGATGCCCTGGACCCTTTTTCTTGCAAAAGCTTATTTATCATTGAATATTTTTGTCTTTAGTGTGTTCAATTTGCTTTCTTTCTTTGAACACTTAAATACCAATGTATTACTCCAACAAACTTAAAATATACACAAGTGAAAACAAGCCTTTCAATAAATAAATCTTGAATATAAAAATAAAATCTGTATAAAGATAATATCTCACACTGGTTGTTGAGAACAGATGAACCTCCTGTCCAGCACTTGATTGGCTACAGCTGCAGGGACTCCTGCCTTCATAATTGAATTTGAATTGTAATTGTCATTGTAATTGCAGCTTAGACATCATAATAAATATGAATCATATCATTGGCTTGCATGCTGTCAGGCATTTTGCATCAGTGCTGCAAGTTGTCATTTCTTGTAAGAATGGCCTGTATAGTGATCATCTGGCCAGATCAGATCTATGCAGCTGACAGACTTTAAAACATTGGAGCGTGATTCTCAGTGCTGTGTGACTGTGTCTGTCCCACAGCTTGCCTTCAGTGTCAATGCTCAATGGCAGTGTGGTGACAGATGGGGAGAGAGAGGACGCTGAGCGGTTTTTCATACGCTACCACCTGGATTATCCTGAGGAAGAGCTGCCTTACAGGTATAGTACACTCTTCTTCCAAAAACAGACCCACTCCAGCACATGCTCCAATTTTCTCAAGAAGCTGTGTGCTGTCAGCTCCAGTCAGCCAGAGCCTGGGCTCATGATACCCGGCGAGTTAGGGAGCTGGCTGGGATGTGATGATTCTACACAGGATCAGCCTGTGAATCTCAGGTTCTCGTGCCCTTCTGTACACATAACTGTGTGAGACTGTGTGAGATACTCTTTTTTGTATTTGTTTTTACTGTTTTTTTTTAATCTCTGGGATTGTGATATGTGTTTGAACAGGATTGCCTCCCTTACCTGCCCGTACTAATTTGCAAATGCTTCTTAAGCAAACCAGGTGTAGTTTCCCAGACTGCCCAAGCAGAGAGGAGCTGCTAGCATGGTGGGCTGAGGAGTGACTAGAGAGATTGTCTGAAAGAACCATGTTGGCCTCCGATAGCCCTATAGGCAGACGTATATATGGACTGTGTTTTTGAAAACTGACATAAAGGGAAATCAGACTTGTGACACTTTAGAAAGAGATATGCCATGCTGCAGCTAGATCCAATGTCATTTCCAAAACCACAACCCTGCCATTCTCTGTAGGGTATCAGGGGCATCACTGGGGGTGGAGGAGAAGAAGGGGGGGTTACTGGGAAATGGAGCGTGCTCCAAGTCAGTCACATTCCGCTTAACCTCGGGAGAATGCAGAGAAGGGATTTGTGGCGGGAGAGCAGTCTCTGGCTGGGGAATCTAACCTTTGGGAGACAATGTGGCCAGTCTGTGGCCACTCAATGGTGTCTTTGTGAGCGCTTTGCTGATCGGAAAGCCGATACATGAGATGGCAGCCTGATTTTTATTTTTTCCTCCTGTTGGATGGTGCACTTTACCCATTTCCATTTGTAACTGGAGCTGATGTTCCCCTTTTTAAGGGATATTTGTACGAATTGTCTGGCTCTAATTATGACATAGGTAAAGTGCCTTTTTGGACAGAGGGATTGAGATTGCTCTTGGGAGAGGGGTCTGCAGTTGAATTGTGGTGTGGACGTCTGGTGTATTGAATAAGGAAGTGATATCACAGTCATAATACAGCTCAGGGATTTTCCTGCATATCTCATCCAGGTCTAATCAGCATAAGATGGTGAAAACTCAGAAAGAGAAGAGATTGCTCTTCCCTTTTGTCTTGTTCACCTTCTTGGAGTTTATTGATCTCAGAGTTTCACCAGATTCACGCCTGGAAGATCACATTAAATCAAGGTGAACAATTTGAGTTCATAGAGTGATCATCTGTGGCTCCCTCTCTCTGATTCTCTTTCTTTGCAACATGTCAGCAGGCGGCAGGGGCTGTGGTTTCAGTAGAGGAATTAAACAAAGTCCTGTCTGTCTGCACTAGTAAATACCAGGTGTCAGTAGAGATTTTAACTTATCCGACATTTGTACTTTTTGTGTAGAAAAGGAGAGCTGGGCAGTCTTAGAAGCTGAGAGAGGTGTCATAATGCATAATGAAAGTCAAGGAAAAGGCATTAAGGTGTTGGTAAAATTACAATGTAAAAGTACAGAAAACTAAGCAGACTGCCCTCCACAAAACTCAATGTTCTGGTGATTTTTTATCAGGGGACGTCTTCCTCTCTTTAACCTGGGAGCCATAAGAATAGTTACAAATGAGAGGAGACCATTTGAGCCATCTAACCTAAAAGAAGCCAAGCTATCAACTTTAGCAACATGGCTGGGCAGCTTGTTCCATACTCCCACCACCCTTTGTGTAAAGGGCTGCTTCTTGAAAGAAGACAGGGTATCAGCTTCATCAGCAGTGGCTGAGCAGCTCGTTCCAAACTCCCACAACCCAAGTATTCGCCCAGAACCCTCTACTCTTCTCTAGAGCACAAGCAGCAGCTCCAATAAAAACGCTCCTTTTCCTCTGGGTAGTTTTGGAGGCAGGGTGGGAGACAGGACACTCAGGCATGGTCCCGGGAATTATTTTTTCTCCCCTGTTTCAACCTGTGTAGGCTTGGCTTTGACCCTGTGCCAGCTTTCCAGGTGGAGAGGCGTGGAGGGACAGGATGGGGACAGAGGCGAGAAGGATGTCCTTTTACTGTCTCCTTTCTCCTGGGCCTGCTTGCCCTCCCCTCCCCGATCAAGGCCGGCTGCAGACATGCAGACTGGACCCTCTTTAGGGAGACAGGCTAACAAAGCGACTGTTTGACGTGGGGCTAGAATGGAAGCCCCAGTTTTCAAAGCACAGCCTTTTCCCTTTGAGTAACCCTAGCCTCCCGGGCGGACCTTCTGGGTTCAAGCGGCTTTTTGAAAGAGGAATAGGGGGAGAGACTGGGGTGGCGGCCTGATTCAAAGAGAGAGCACAGTTTTGTCAGAGGGAAGAAAAATTGTGCTCTACAGCCCTTTTGTGGTGGAGGGTCAAGCAAGAATGAATGGTGAGAGAAAAGAATAAAAAGAAAAGTAATAGTTATTTTTTAGAAAATGGCAGCTAAATGTAGCTTAAAAAATAAAATAACTGGAAAGATTTAACAGTGGCTGACCAAGGAAAAGAAAATGCTATGACCGCACAGAGGGTGGAGAGACATTTGTGTTAAAAGAAACTGTACATTTATTTGAGAGTGATTGTTTGACCACGATACGTAAACTACTGTAGCTAACAGGCTATGAGAAGCAAGCTTTCACGCTGGGGAAGTGACAGTGATAGGTGCTCATCATCACAGTTGGCAAATTAAACAACCAAACAAGCACGGTAGGTTCTTAGCGCAATGTAGAATACTGCAAACGAGCTTTACAGACTAGTGGGGACCCACTTCATTCAGCAGCAAGGGCAGAAAGACGTTGAAGAGGAGACCAGCAGAATCCCTCACTTAACACAATGATGTAACACCCTGGGTATTGACTTTGACGGTGTCTGGGGAGCTCGTTCTAGACTCTTTTAGCAAGTATTTGTTTAAAGAAGTGCCTCCTGTTCTCAGTTCCTGTAGTTTCTGCCTCTTTCCTTTGGTTTGTGTTTCACCTGTAAATCCTGAAGAGGTCCTCTGGGTATACTGTGTTGGAGCCCTTGAGGATTCTGAATACTTGAATCAGGTCTTCACTGTAAAGATTAAAAAGATTCATTTGTTTTAACCTGTCAGTGTAGGACATTCCTTTGCGCTTAGGAGTATATCTGGTTGCTCTGGAATCAGTCCAGAGGAGGAGTAGTGCCTTGTAGACTTGGAATCACAACGGAACACAATATTCTAAATTAGGTTTATTAGTGCAACTGACAATTTTAACATACTTTGATAAAGATTATACATTTATGTTATAATCCTGTTATCACATCCTAACATCCAGTTTGCATTTTTGTTGCTTCCCAACATTGTTCAGAAGGTATAAATAATTTTGCTGTAAGGAACATCGTCAAGCTCGATGTTCACCATTTTGTGTGTTTAGTGTGTTTTTACTTCCTGCATGTAATATTCTGCACTTCCATCCATCCATCCATCCATCCATCCATCCATCCATCCATCCTTTTTCATTTCACTGCTTCATTCACGTTCTGGGTCACGAGACTGGTCCTATCCCAGTAAGCAATGGGCACAAGGCGGAATGCACCCTGGATGGGACACCAGTCCATTGAAGGACAGACACAGACACAAACACAGGCATGTACACTAGGAGCAATTTTCCTAGAACCTAGTTAACCTACCAGCATGTCTGTGGACTGTGGGAGGAAACTGGAGCATACGAGGAAACATGACAATAACTCCTGATGAGCACAAACATGAGGGGAACATACTGACTCCATGCAGATAGCATTCCAGGTCCAGAATGGAGCCCAGGGCCCCAGTGCTGTGAGACAGCATTGAAAAGCACTCTACCACTGTGCCACCCATATTCAACACTTACATTCAGTATCAGTCCTGATTTTAATCTAATTTTTTTCATTTGTTGCTTCTGTAATCCTTGCTGTTTTCTCTAATCCTTGTTCAGAGAAAACTCTAACAAGTTATTTAAAACTTATGAAACATTTCTTCTTTCTAAATCCATGCTATCTCCTAAGATATTATTTCCAGATAGGTAATCCTCTTGTTTAGTTCCAATTATTGCTTCCATATTCTTACATGTCAGAGAAGTCAGATGTGCTGGTCTGTAATTTCCTGGGTCAGTTGTGTCATTCCTTTTGGACGAGAGTGCAAAATTGATATTGTTTCGGTCCCTGAGCATAGCCTTTCTTGAGCAACTGCCGGAAGATTTGTAGGCTTCTGTGCCTAGATCCAAGGCGCAGATTAGATCGGAAGTTGGACTGCTGAGACTCAACTTCAAAGTCAGTAGCCTGTCTGCTTGTTACAGTGTTTGCTTCTTTTTCCACCATGTTGTATGTCCACTTAACAAAAGGTGCATTGTAATAAATGAAAAAAGTGAGCAAGGATAAGACAGCTGGCGATGTCAGATGACAGGCATTGCAGCGCTGGCTGACCTGGTGTCCCTCCCCCCAGGTACCACTGCCTGGTGACCAAGTATGGGAAGCTGGCGCCGCTGGCAGATATCGACCTGCGGCCGCGCTGCTATGCCAAGGTGGAGGTGCACTGTGAGGACAAGGTGGAGCTTGTAAGTATCCGGCTGGACCAGACGGTCGCGGAGCTCAAGAAGCAGCTGCGGACAGTGGTGCAGCTCCCCACTAACAACATGCGGCTCTACTACATCGACAAGGAAGTGGCCTGCGTCTTCGGGCCCGAGGAGATGAAGTACAGCACGCGTGCGCTGCACTCCTACAGCATCCGCGATGGAGACGAGATCCTGGTGGTGCCCAAGTCCAAATGAGTGCAGGGACCTTTCTCTCCATCAGTGGAGAAGTGCCAGGGTGGGCCGGGGGGGGTGTGTGTGCAGAGGAGCTCCCATCATCCCATCTTCCCTTGTGCTTTCTCCACCCCAAACCCCCCAGTGTAACGGAGATGCACTGTTAGGAAATAACAGCAGCTGTGCTGACCTGCTTCTCTCCTACAAGTCTTTTTTATTTCTTCATTTTATTCATGTGGTGAACAGCACCACTCCACTCTCTGTATTTAAAGGATAACTCCCCTGCAAATCCTGCACAAGCACAAGTGTGCATGAATTCTAGTTCCTCGCAGTCTCTCTTTAGTATGGCTTGTTGAAGACAGGGGGGTGTTTTTTTTTTTGTCATAGTGATGCAATCGTTGCTCCTGCCCTAACTAGGAAGTTGGCTGCTGTAGGAAAAGGCTTTAGGGGATAGATATGGAAAGTCCAGGGGCTTCTACCAGTGCTTCTCAACCAGCCTCCAAGTCTTGGCTGATTATTGCTCATGACTGGAAGGCTGTGTTCGCTCTAGAAGGTCAGCTATTTGATGTTACATGAAGAGGGGTATGGGGGAGCTACTGGAATTGTACTGTTCTGCAGGGCATTGGGCTTTTTCCACACTGAACTGCATAGCACTGTACTGCTCTGCACCACAGTGTGCTACGTTGTACTGTACTAGTCCAGGGTCCGAATAGAGTCCATATGTGGCCTCACAGAGGCATTGCAGTTGCTGTATTTAACAGAGAAATTGAGCCACTGTCTACTGGCCTACCACACAGATCTGGGAGTGATGTTGCTCGGATTTTAATTGGAAAATCAAGCCTTCTAACATTTTAGTAAGGTGCTTTACTTGAGTAAGCCCAACAACTCTGTGATTGGTTGGTGTTTGTATTCCAGTGCGGCCAGTAAGGTGGAGGCTGATCTGTCAATCCAGATATGCTGACTTCTGTGCTTTCCCCTCAGCCCTTTGCTTTACTTTCTCCTCTGCGTACATTACCAGGTTAATTAATTTGTAGTTCTGGTGATGATCTGAGAGCCCACACATAAATGTGGTTATTATTTATTGATGATGCAGATATCTGTGGCCATAAGCCTTTTGAAAAACCAACCATTGCTGCAGCTATAAGATGACCCCAGTGAAGTTTTGATTATGTTCTGCATGTTAAATCCATGTGGGCTAGACCTTGCTGCAGTCTGTGTGTCCCTTTCATCTGTGAATTGAGAGTTGACAGTTCAGAATGAGCTGCTGTCTTCTGCCCACAGGCTGGTTATCACTCAGCTGTGAGCACACAAAGATTTTCCCTCAGATGTAAGGGAATTCAAATGAGATACAGAGAGCCGAAAGTGAAAGGGTAAAAGTGGTTTGTAATTTTTGAAAAGTAGCTGTTGAACCAGACTTCCTTGAAGTTTGTTTCTACATTGTTACAACGTTGGAGGACGTTGATGACAAGAGTGAATCCTTTCTCTGCTGTCCTGATTTTCTTTCTGGTTGTGTATCCTACATGTCAATGGCCATTTGCTGTTAGCACGTTTCCACGCTACAGGACTGACGTCCACATTACTGAGTGTGGCCCCTCATCAGTATTATTTAACAGTGATGTAGCGTAAATGTTGGGGTTACTTAATCAAGTATTAGATAGTGTATAAGTTAAAGATCAAGTAGTAATAATGTACCCCACAACTTGGGTCTTTTGCCCACTGTCGTCTCCAGCAGCAATCTTGTCTGTTATCAAGACTAAACTGTGGACAATGAGCAACAGGGTCTTTAATGCTTAATGAACTTCCAAGGCATAATTTCATTCATTTGGATATTTTCAATAATGAATCCAAACCTCTTTGTTTAAGATGAATACATCATTTTTACTATTTATTTTTTTGTCTAGTTTTTGTTGTTTCAGGATTTTATGTTTTCAAGAATGTGCTTTAGAAAATAAATATTATTGGAGCCCTTGTGCCCCTTAAGAAGCCTACCAAAAACTCAGCTTTGAAAGAAGACAAACCATTTTATTAATCCTTGATGCCTGTAGCTTAAGCTCTTTTTTATTAAACTGTGACAAATTTGGAGGGCACAGAAGTGAAGTCTGGCTACACTAGGATAAAGGAAACAGAGACGCATTTAAGACAGAAAGTTTAGAAGATTTAAAGGCATATTTAGACACCCTCCTTTCCGTTCAGGAGAACTGTTGGTACTAAAATAAGATAAAATAAAATAGTGAAACTCCTAAATCGCAAAGAGGAGGTCCCTGAGCTTCTAGTGAAAGGCAGAAATGTGCTCAGTTTTCATACCTCGTGTCTTATGAGACCTGTTCCTACCAGAGTCTGTCCGTCCTCATGGGGGCTTCCAGAGTGCTTGCCTTCTGGCTTGATGTGAATGAGCCTCTCAGACATGACCCAGAAGTCACCCATAAGCAGGCGTCACCCTTTCCCCCGAGCTCCACAGCCAGCGCTGGGGCCCAGTGCTCAGTGCTGAGCCTGTGCTTATTGCAGTGCAGCATGGTAAAGTACTGGGAGGCGCGTTCTTGCACATGGTGGAAAACCGTGGTGAAGATGAGGGAAAACACAGATTTACCATTGTTCACCACAGTGGACTGGGACTGTCTAAGCTAGCACAAGTGTGTACAGGGGGTGAATACGGTCCAGCCTGGATGTTAAAGTCAGTGTGAGGGATTTGCACTGTCACCTGGCATTTGTGTTGGGGCGGTCTAAAACACAGCTGTACACAGTGGAAAAGTGAGATTTGGTCATATGAAGAGTCTTTCTTATAAAAGGAATCTGTAGAGATGCATGTTAAAAATTAAGAGCAATATGAGCATTACAGGAAATGAAATAGAAAATATTATGTCAAAGCCAAATGTCTTATAGAGTAAATCTTCTGTAAATTATGATTATATATAGTGAGTGGAAAAAAGTATTGATCCCCCATTGGACCTCTACCACATTTTGCTCTGTTACAACCTCAAATCACAACCTGTTTGAACATGCTTTTTTTTGTATGATTTAGAAAACATACATATTGATGGGCACAATCATTTTGATTGTAAAAGAAAATTTTATGAACTGAAAAAAACTGAACTGAAAACTCCAGCTTAGACAAATATTCACCCTCCTGAGCTTAAGCATTTAATATTAAGTTGCTCCCCCTTCTGCAGCTATTACAGACTCAAGGCATTTGTGGTATGTTGTAATCACGTTTTCACATTTTGCGTGTTTATTGTCCTTGCAACATTGCTCCAGTTATTGCAGGCTCTAGTATCTGGAGTCAACAGAGCTGTGGTGTACAGCAATCTTCAATTTCTGCCACAGATTTTATTAAGGGATTTAAGTCTGAATTTTTACTGGGCCACTCAAGGACTTTAACCTTTTCCTTTTTAAGCCACTCAAGGGTTGCTTTTGCTTTGTGTTTCAGTCATTTTACTGTTGAGATATTAGTCTCTGTCCCAGTTTCAGATATTTTGCAGACTGGTCCAGGTTTTGATCTAGGATCCATACTGCCCTCTATTTTGACAAGCCAACCAGTCCCTGCCAATGAAAAGCAACCACCCAAGAGTATGCTACCACCACTGTGCTTCAAAGTGAAGATGGGGTTTTGTAAGTGATGAGCACTGCTCTTTTTCCACCAGACAAAGCTTGGCATTAAGGCTAGACAACTCAATTTCTGTCTCATCAGACCACAATTCTTTCTACATTGGTTCAGAGGCTCCTACATGTCTTTTTACATATTCAAGAGGGGACTTCATGTGAGCTTTTTTCAAATATGACTCTCCCCTCACCCCTACTGCCCAGATTTGAGGAGCACCTGAACTATTGTTGGCTCAGTCAGTTTGTAGGTCTTGGAGGGTTGTTTTTGGCCTCTTGACTGCTTCTCTGGCCAGTGTTCTGCTTTCCCGGTTGCTGAGCTCTGGAGGACGAACTGGTCATTGACGATTCTGAGTAGATTTATGTGTCTTCACTTCCTGATAATTGATTTAACAGTGTTCCATGGAATACTCAGTGCTTTTGAAATCTTGACTGACTTTTGTCTGTCCACAACTATGTCCCTTAGTTGTTGCAGAAGCTCTGTTGTCTTCATATTACTCTGTATGCAATGTCCAATGGTGGGAACTCACACAGACAGGTGTGTTAATGGTTAACCAATATTATTGCACACAGGTGGATTCCAGTTGACATTCTTGCAAATTCTGAAGGCAGTAGGCTGAGGCAGAACCTACTAAGGAGATAACACTCCAATTCTAAGGGGGTGAACATTTTGCAAGATTTTTAGGGTTGTTATTTTTAATTTATATTTTAGATCCAAGCTTTTAAACACATTGATATTGTAGAGGATGTTGTGTGGATCAAAAGGAAAAATAAATAAATCTGTTGAGTTTTCAGGTTGTAACACAGTAAAATGTGTCAAAATGTAATGTACAATCAGGGGAATCATTGGGGTTCTGCGTATTCAATCTGAACCTTTCCATAGGGACTTTTCTTTTTGGAGTTTTTATGTTGATTTCAGTGGTGAGGCTGTGATTAAAGACAACGACCAGAGAGCCATGGAGACAGAGCAGGTCATTTCTGTCTCTCCTGGACTGAAACTGGGGAAACTGGGGAGGTTATATCCCCAAATAGCGCAGATTGTTTTATTTCTCACTCCTCTTTTGTCTGTATGTGTTTAAGTATCCTTTGATTTTCTTGCTTGATTCTTTTTCACCTTTCCAAGTTAGCCTTTTGCTAATGCCTTTTCAGAACGTTTCGACAAGCCATACTGCGCCAGTGGGCTTCGGGTGGCCTTCTCATCGGCTTCTTTTGTGGGAACAGTTAAGCTACAAGGTTGGTGACAGCCTTTGTAGAGAAAGAACGTAACGGAGTCTCTCAGGTCGTGCGTAGAGGTCACAAAAACAAGTTGTTAGTGTGGATGCCTGTGTGTAGGCAGAAAACGGATAGCCCCTGGGTTTCTGCAGTTTTATAGATCGTAGATCTGGAACAAGGACATTTGCAGTTCTGCAACATGTAGTTGATTGCACCCAGACCAAACTACCACTGAAAACAGTTGTACTTAGAAATTCCTGGAGCAATACCAATTGCAGGTGAGTGTGTGAACAGGCAGGGCTAGGTTTGGAATAAGAAGAAGGAATTTTGTATTCGCGCCCTCTGCCCCTTTTGCTAAAGAGTTTAAAGGCATTTTTTTGTTCTGTGCTATTTTTACTTTCTGTCTTTATGTTCATTAAAACTCATTGCCTTCCAGCTATCAGACTCCAGGAGCTTCCTGCACCACACTTAAGGGGTGCCGTCCCTTTAAAATCAGAGACCATGCGAATCAAACACTTGAACATTACTTTGTGTTGCCTCTGCTTGTCCTTTAAGTTTGAGCTGTATAACTCTATATGATAAAACTGATGTACATTCCTTCTGTTCTTTCTTAAGACAGGTGTTAATATTAGATAAAGGACAAATGAGTGACCCTCTTGAGTACACACGGGGCTGGCACACTGATGGCTGTTGTAGTGTTGATCATTCTGCCTTTGAATTCCAAATCCTAATTATCAGTCTGCCTCTGCTACATAGTAAGGCAGTTGATAGTAAAAGAAGTTCTTACATTTTGGTTCGAGTGCTTTGAATTCAATGTTCTCTGACTGTCTGTGTGCAAGCGGTATTGGTGTATTCTGTTCAGGTACACAATAGGTATGAAGAGCCCTGCATAAAAATCAGGAAAATAAAGTTACAGTAAAAAGAGTCCATATGGTGTGAATGGCATGGCATGGTTTGGTGTAGCATGGGCTAATGAGTGATTAGTTAGATGCATTGATGCAGTCTCCTTCTTTGTCTTATTATTGAAGCAACATAGAAAAACACAATCTTGAGATCATCTTGCAGTCGTCAATCACTTGCTTGTTTCATGCTTTGAATTAGCACTAAAAGACATTCAGATTGTTGTACTTTCATATCTTACATAGAAGGACATCAATGGCTTCATAATAGGGTTGACTGTGCTTTTCCCAAGCACAAGGACTAACAGACAGACAGCCAGGAGCTTTGGACTTTTACAACTGCAATAGGAATACTGCACCGATCTTCACACAGTCTGCATGTCAGTCAGGCAGCATCGGGGCCAGTAGGCTTTCTACATTTGTAGGGAAAGATATATTTAAAGGTATATAAATCTATATAGAAAGAAAAAGAATTATATATGTTTATGATGTCAGTGTTGAAGTGTTTCTGGTTTGAGGTTCTGTTATGAAGGGGTGATGTTTGGAATGAGAATCAGAGGGCTGAAGAATCTTAATTCAGTCATTCCAGACTCCACAGCACTGAGTACAGCCTGGTCGCATTACTAATTTGCTGTAGTACTATGTAATGGATTTTCTTAGTCAAAGCAGCAAAGTTAGTTACACACTATACAAGAAATTTACACACTGTTGATTCCAATGCTGTAAAATCTGTCCCAGACTTAGAGGGAAGTCCCAGAATACTACCACTATATTGCATTTTGTACAGTATTTAGCCAAAGAACGCATTTAATTCAGAAGATATAAAAACATCTCTTAATGTATTGCACAAACAAATGGATTTTCCTGTGTATTCTGGATTTTCCACCAAGCTCTGCAATATCCAGGGCTTAGTGGAATCATGGATCGCCCATTCCCCACGCCCTCAAGGGGTGCAGTGGAGGGGCAGGGAGACAGGAATTTCAGAATCCATGGCATATTCTGGAGATATTCTGTCACTCAGTGATCAAGACAATCCATGAGAGCAGCTTCTGAATTCTGGGGCAGGAGCCAGGAGAGTGTGGAGCCTTGCTGTGAGGTCCAGGGTGTGCTCAGACAGAAGAGTCCTGCTCCCCTTCCTGTCTCTCAACTGTCTCTTTTGTCAACTATTGGTTTATTAAACTTTCAGAGTTTGATGATTTTAAAAAAGACCTTGCCTCTGTGTTTATTTCAAGTTAACCCTACCTTTCAAAGCTTGACATAAAGAAAATGTTAGAACTAGAGGCTATTGCATTATCTTGATCACTGTTGCAGGGTTTTCCCTATAGTCAATGTTCAGGATATACCGACAAGACAGAAGGTTTTGGGGAGGAGGGAAGGAATATTATAAATGATAAGTCGCAAGAAAAGTAAAGGTGTTTCAAGATGTTTCCCTTTTCACAAATTCCAGTGTCTCCCAGTGCAACAGGTGCCCTGATATGGTCAGAGACGAAGTTCACAAGTAGCCCTTCCCAATCGCAATTACTTTTAACATGGTTTTTGCACCCTTTTGCACTACAAAGACTGAAGATTGCACCCATGGAAAAATGCCAATGTGCAAGTGGAATTTGTATAATTGATTTATTGATGGTGAATAGCAGTAACAATTTACACTGGTCTATCCATTCGCAGTGGAGCTATCACAGACGTGACTGATACTCCACGGAATACAGTATAATTCTGAGTCTCCATGCTGGAAGTCATCAGTCTCGAGCAATAAGTGACCCTCTCTCTATAATATGTAAGAAGCTCTAGATAAGGATTTCTGTCTGTTCTGTCTTCACACCAGTGGTTCCACACCGCCTGTCTGTAAACAGGCTCCATTGGGCTGATGATCTCTGTGCTCGAGCACCTAAAGCAGTGCAGGGTAGGTGTGGACTCAGTGGCTGGTGGCCATGTGCTGATACAAGCCCACGGTCTGAGGGGTTTCATACAGTGTGTTGTGTTCTAGGGCTATGCAGGAGTAGAGTGCCTAGCCAGTCTGTATTTTGATACCCTCCGATGCTGCTGAGCTGGAACTAGAACAAGGAGAGCTGAAGAGAGCTCATTGTACACTGAAGTGCAGGAACCTGGAAGAAGGTCTTGGGTTACGCAGGGCAACCTGTACTCTGGAAGAGACGAGACAAGAAGAGCTGACTGCTGCCACGAGGCAAACTGCTAGAAAGAGGGAGGTCAGCAGTCAGAATGGGAGAATTGCAAGCAGGGATTACATTACTGCCGGCCTGAACCTGACCCAGCTGAAGCCCAAAGCACTTGAGTCCTGAAGGACAATCCACATCACAACCTGCCCTTCTGACACCAGGAGACACTTCACCCACGGGATCCCTCCCATTCTACCTTTTTGCTTGCGAGGAAGAGTAAAACTGCAGACCCCACAGTTTCACTCAATTTCACAAGATCACCGCAGTAACTTTGCATGTGTTCAGATGAAGCTCATTGCAATCATTCTGGATGAAAAATGCCTCAAGAGCTGCAAGCAGTTGCTAATATTTTTTCCCATGATTTTACCACGTTTATCACAGAGCCTTGGCATGCTCTTCCATGGTTTGTCCCCTAAATCTTTATGCTTTCATGTGCTTTTGTTGTGACTTCTTCGTGGTGTGTTACACTTATTTTTACCTTTGTGTGTAGTTGTAAGCTAATGAGGGATGAGGTTCATTTCAGATTTCAGTCATTGAGCAAGATGACTCTGCCAGTATTTCCTGGAATGAACGGCCTAGTGTGGAGCACCCCTAGGGACACTCTTCCTTTTCCCAGTCAGGGCACTTAGGTTTTTCAGAAGTTGCAGGTGCAGAAGAATCTCTCTTTCAGAGCCCTGCCCTGTAGTGTGTTTTGTCAGGGCCAAGGTGACCAGAGTGCTAAAACAGCTTCACACACTCAGCACTCACCTCTCCTGTTACATCTACTGTCCTTCTAACAAAGACCCCGCAGCCTGTATCTCTTACCAGCCTTATCTGCAAGGATTCACCTACAGATTTCCACAAAAGTTGATGCAATCACACAGTAATCTATGGAAATGAGTCCTTTTCTCCCCTCTGTATTGCAAAGGAGACAAGCTTAATTAAAAAAACAGAAAAGTAAGAGAGAGCACATGGTCTGCTCTAAAGTGACTCATTTTAATTCTGTAACCCTAGCTGGGTTTAGAGAAAGAGGTAGGTTTTATGTCTTTCTGAATGTTTGTGTGTGTCTTGTATTCTGTATCAGATATTTTCACAAGAAAGATTTTGCACTGAAATTTGTGTGGGGACAGGGTGTGATCTCAGGTCCCAATCCAAAATGCTGACATTTCTCTCAGAAACCATCGTCTTTGTTGAAAGTTTTAGCTTCCAACCTGGGATGAAAACATCTCTGGTTTCAACATTTTGGAGTTCACAGGACCCCCCCTCGCCCTGCTCTGCCCTGCTCTCTCTCCATCTCTTTCGCTCTCTTCACACACGCCCCCCTCAACAAAAACTCCGCCCCCCCCCTCCCCAAACGAGCAAATCTCAGGTTAAGCTAACCAATGCCCCCCCCCCAAAAAAAAAAATTGGTTCTGCACCACTATCAAAGAACTCATCGCAGCCTCACAGTTGAGCTGAAGAAGTTTTGTCTCCTGGATTCCTGGATTTGCGGATTCCCCCATTTCTGAGTTAGTCTTCAGGCTGGAATTGAATGCCCCTGTACCTAGCGGTACCTCAAGAGCAGTGGCAGGAGTGGCTTGCTGGGATCTGGAGGTACCTGTTGCTTGTGTTATAAGTGGGGGAGCTGGGCAGTTGGATGGCAGTATCAGGAGACTGGTGAGAGCTGTGCTGTTCTGTGCGCCTCCAGCCGCAGGTGAGTGAGAACGTTCTCCTCCCGTCTGTAAACCCTGTTCCTTCCGTACCCCTTTTCTCTTGGCTCAATTTGTTTTTTTTGCTGTATTGAATTGTGTGAGGCACATTCTTCATTTGCATACTCCACTTCACCGAGCACCTGCGCCCAGGTGTGTTAAACACCTGCAATTAAATTTCACAGGGTTTTTCCCTTCCGGAGTTTCAGAATGTCACACAGAGAGGTTGAACTTGACTCTCTAGAAAAAAAGGAAGAAAGATCCCTAACTAATACTTAAAATTAATTAATTCTAGGGATTTATAGTTTAAATCTGACATGTTTTTGGCATGTCTTCTTTTTTTTAAATCAGTTATGAAGTCATGCAAAAAGAGATGCCAGAAGATGCTTTCTCCTGTGCCAGTCTGTGGCCACAGCTTCTGCAATGATAGTGCAATGATAGTGCTAGTCCACAATAGGACATCCTGGATATATAGTACAGGAAAAGAGGAACATTAAAATTGTTCTGTTTGATGCTGTCCTCTCCTGAGGACACTGTGTACCTTGTGTAGAGTTCGCTGAGTGTGGTGTGGAGCTGGGGCACAGTTAAGCAACAGTGGGGTGAACAGCTCCACTCAGAAGAACTCTGAGAGATGAACACTCTGTCTTGGATCTAGTAGTTGCCGAGATTCTGCATTGCATCCCTGATAGTTTATGATACTCAGTATACAGTTTTCTGAAGCTGGCCTTAGTCCACACTGGGAGTTTAATTTGTATAAATATTGTATAGATTTTAAAATATGATTACATTGAATACCCTAATGTTTTTCCGCCACCTGTTTGATTTCACACCTGAAAACATTTTCTTTTCCCATTTGTATTTCTGTGCCTGCTCATATAATCTTTGTCTTGGATAAACCTCTGCCCCAGGAGTCACTGGTGCTGCCTGAGGTGTGCTGCGAACCACTGATTTGGAGCCTTGGGAGAAAGTAATGTGAGCTTATTGTACTTCAGGCATAATGGAAGCTTTTTAGAAGTCAGTAACCAGTCGCTACATCAGGAAAACTGGCCTGGAGAGAAATCAGGGTATTTAGAAGACTGCTCTGTACTACCTTCCTTCCCTCCCTCTCTCTCATTATTCATCTGTTTTTGAGTCTCACTCCTATTTTTCTTCTTTTCTTTTTTTAAATGCCTCCCAAGTTTACAAACAGCATGGAATTCTGAAAAAGTTTGGAACAAACAGGTTTGCAATAGTGTTTCAACATAGTTTATTGTTTCAGGCTGCATTTGTTATTCCAGATATACTGTATAGGAGCCAACAGTAACAGGAACACTGGTGGGGCCAATGTTGGCAGTTAGTTTGATGGCTGGTTGTTTGGCAGTGTCTCTCTTTCTCTCTCCCACTAGGATGGTGAAGCAAGGAACTCCAGTCATTCTCATCCATCTTATCGTTATCCTGGCTCCAAGAGCAGGTGAGCACACAGCTGAACCTACTGGTCCAGAACACAAAGCTTCATGGTTCTGTGTAACTCCAGAGCAATGGTCTTGAAGCACACACATAAGATTATTAAACTTAAACTAGAAGACCTCATTTGATCCATCTCGCTTTTGTAGTTGCTAGTCACTAATTAATCTGAGGCTCTCATCCAAACGTTTCTTGAAAGAAGCCAGGCTATCGACGTCATCATGGCCAAGCAGCTTGTTCCATATTCCAGGTGTTTTGAATTTTCAGAAGAGCTTTTTGAATGATCACTGCAATTTACTTTGTGTTAACAGCTTGGTTGTTAATGCATCTGGGTTTCACTACTGCCATTTTGATAATTGAAGATCTGCTGTTCTTGGTACAGAACAGGGGCAATTTTTGTGACTGTGTCATGTGAAGGGTGGATATTGGGTTGCGATCAGGGAGTGAGTACTCAGATGAGACAACTGTTGAAATAATTTTCCATTCACTAAAAAAGGGAACGACAGTAAAATTAAAATAAATAAATAATCCTTACACTAATATAGCGCTTTTCTGGACACTTCCCTCAAAGTGCTCTACCACAAATGTGTAGCTTCTACCTGGATGATGCAATAGGAGTCAGAGTGCATAGATGGGGATTATTAGGACTGGTATTTTTAATGACTGCAGAGTCAGGACCTCGGTTTTACGAGTCATCTGAAGGATTTTTTTACAGTATATAATGACCCCATCACTATATTGGGGCATTAGGACCCACACAGACTGCAGGGTGAGCGCCCTGTACTGGGCCCACTAACACCTCTTCCAGCAGCAACATTAGTTTTTACCAAGAGTCTCCCATCCAGTTACTGAGCGGCCTCACACCTGCTGAGCTTTACTGTGCTGCCAGTTGTGAGTTTCAGGATGATATAACTGCTAGCAAAAGGTGCAGCCCAAGGAGTATCTAAAATACCTGTTAGTTTTCCTCTTCCATTGATGGACATTTGTGAGTGAGGTTGTTGAGGCCACTTGTCATCTCTCTGTTGGAGGGTTAAATGGACTGAACAACTGCTCAGTCTAGGACTTCATTTTTAATTCCATGGTTGTTTTGGAGTGAATGAAAGGATATTCCGAAAACTTTATGAAAAGGTAATCTGATCTGATCTGATCTGATCTGTAGGAGAGGTACTCTGTAGGAGTACAGTTGCGTCCTTCTGATTGCAATGTGTCAGTCTAACTATTCCAACACGGCTTCTGAAAAGAATCCTCACTGCTAAACGAAGTAAATAAACTCAATGACCTCGCACTTTACAGAATTCCCTGAGAGGTGACTATTATTGATCCGTTCCCTATCCCACAGCAGCAGGGCCAGCCAGGGCTTTCTTGGATCGTGGAAAGGAGCCCCTCCAGATCACAATTTGTGCACATACTGCTATCATCTCCTCCCACCCCAACCTTTTTACTATTTAGAACAATTACATTTTCTAGTTACTTGTTACTACTTAAACTAAACTTCAACTACTAGTTACTAGTTTCCAGTTATATAATACATTCATTAACCAGCTTTGAAGAACACATAATACATTACAAACAAGAACAAGGAGTAGAAATTTTACAGAGATAATGTATTTTTACAGTGAAACGTGAATCTACTGACTCAAATAGACAACGTGTCTTGCTAGAAAATGTCCATTTGCTACTTACATGGATCGACTCAAAACTGAATGAAATACAAATGCAAAACTACAATGACTTTTAGCACATTTCTGTCCTATTGCTTATACTGAGCTTCTTTTCTCAGCGACCTATGGGTACGTCCTTTTGGAGGATGGTGTGCATTTACCATCTGCAACTACATGATTTTAATTCTAAACCATTACAATATAGTTTGTGTCGCAAGTAAAGGGCTACTTGCAACACTTTATCACATGTTGATGTAATAAAAGGTAAATAAAACATCAAGACATTCACCACTTTCCGAAAACAAATGAACAGCATTTGCTGTAGCAGCAGCTGAAATCGTAAGGAGCCTCACTTCCTTTCTCTTTCCTTGTTTCCTCGTGTCTCTGCTCAGTCTTCTCTCAGGGCATCCTGTACCCTTTTGGCCAGGCCCACCGTGACTCTGAGACCCCTAAGATGGACGATGGCAGCTCCCCTGAGGTTCCTCTCCTCATCCAGTTCATCTTCTTCAACATGCCCTACCGCTCCATATTTGTATGTACCAGTGCTCACCTCTTTTGACTTCGTAGTCCTTTTTCTTAGGCGATGTCTTCAGCCACTCTGCTGCGGTGTTGTGCTGATGGGTTCCCCTCTGACTCTGCAGGTCAACAACAATGGGGTGATCTCCTTCAACGTGCAGGTCAGCCAGTTCACGCCCGAGGCCTTCCCCTTGACTGACAGCCGTTCCTTCATCGCCCCCTTCTGGGCTGATGTGCACAACGGCATCAGGGGAGACGTGTACTACCGCGAGACCACTGAGCCGGACATCCTGCACAGAGCGACGCAGGACATCCGCAAGTACTTCAAGAACATGGCATCCTTCACGGCCACCTGGGTCTTCATCGCCACCTGGCACCAGGTCACCTTCTATGGTGGCAGCCAGACCACGCCGGTAAAGCTCTTCCAGAACCCGAACCCTCTGCTTCATGGCCTGTCAGAGAAGTTTCCTGTGCCCACCTTTGGGAGAGGCAGAGCTGCAGCACAGTACAGGGAAGGCATGTTGGAAAGAACAAGTTAGAGAGAGACAGGATGACCCTGGATCCTACTGTAGTTAGTCATGGTAGAGGCCCAGTAAACTACTACAGGGAGTTCTTTGTTTGCACCTGCTTATTACCTTTCCATCTCTGTTGTGTTGTGTGTCCAGTAACTTGACTTCATCTCTGGAGCACAGGTCACTCACTAGCCTGGCCGACTTAGCCCTTGTCTCCATGTCCCCACACAGGTGAACACTTTCCAAGCTGTGCTCATTTCGGATGGTGTCTTCTTTTTCGCCATGTTCAACTATGGGGATATCTCCTGGACCACTGGCACTGCCAGCGGTGGTGACCCACTCACTGGGCTGGGGGGCACAGCAGCTCAGGTAACTGGGGGCTGGTGGGCTGCTCAATTCCAAAAGCAGACAACTTTTAGGTCAGGGCTTTCCAATACTGCTCCTAGGGACGCACATATCTGCTGGGTTTCTTTTCACCTGAGCACTAAATTTAATCATTGAACCCTTAAAGGATAAGTTTAATTTAAACTAAACTTGCCTAAACTTGCAGGCTTTGTTTTACATAGAATGTCCACTTTAAGTAATAAAAAAACTTGCAAAGGATATAATCATGCAACTGGTTCAGGATTGAAGTCAAGAGCTCAGCTGCAATGAAACCCAGCAGGTGTAGGGGTGCCCAAGTCCAGGATAGGGAACCCCTGCTTTAAATGTTTAACAGCACCCACCTGTTCATTACATTGAAATCGAACATTTCATCTAATTTAAACAGTCAATACTGGTTAAGGATTCGATATTAATTAGGCAACCTGTGTTGATTGCTAATCAGAAAAAGAATATTGAAACATCAGGAGTGAATCCAAGTGTGTTTTTTCAAAAAGTCTTGTACATCATGGTACATCATCTGTCAATAACCAGATACCCATTCCTTAACAATCCTGCCATGTTCCACTCACATCTTAAAACAGATGCCAGTCCCGGTGCTCAATGTGTAGCTGTCTGTTAGTGTGTGACATTGAGACGGGCTCTCTTTCTTCCCCCTTTTATCTCATCTCCAGTCAGGCTTCAATGGCGGAGACGTCAACCACTTCTTCAACCTGCCAGGCTCCCGCTCCAACGATGTGGTCAACATTGAACAGACCACCAACGTCAACCGGCCCGGCCGCTGGCTCTTTCGCATCGACGGCGAGCAGATCGACCCGGCCAATGGTTGCAGCCTCAATGGTAGCATCACGCGTCCCTCTTGCTCTCGCTCTCTGTCTGCGCCAGTCCATGTCTCATTAGGAAATCAGCAGGAGCTTTCATTCAGTTCAATGCAGCTCAATATACACAGAAGAGCTTCGCCGGCCTGATTCCCAGTAGCAGTGCTGCCAGACAACACAATCAGTCCTTGACCGACAGACATGATCAATTATCTGTGTACAGACTGAGATACTAGTATCTCAGCACAGATATTACAGTAAGCTGATATCATAGAGTTCCTTCTCAAAGCACTATGCAATGCATAAAGATAACACTTGACTATAAAATATATATTTTTTTAAATTACAAAGATGAAGATACAGAAGATAAAACAATCACAAAAGCAGCTCTTGAACTGAAAGTTTTCTATCCAGATTTAAATGCGCCTAATGTGACTGAGCTACCTTTGGGGTCACTCTCACCCACAGACTTCAAGTAAACACTAAACCAGATGCGCGAAGGTCAACGCAAGGGTAGTAAACAAACACTGAACACATTGCAGGACATGACATTACAGACCAGTGCAGGCGGAAAAGATTTAATCACAGCTGAAAATCAGATGCCAATTTGGACAGTTTTTCCTCTGCAAGATGTTTGCTGGCAGGACTTGCGCCGAGAGTTGCACGGTTGTTGTTGAGAAGTAAAAATACTTAAGAGAAGAAACATGTAGGCTTAAACTTTGAAGATCAACTAAAATTCATTGAAGCGTCTTGGTGGTAAAAATGCAGAAATGGTTCATTCTACTGATTCTGAGTAACTGTTCTGAAGGCTGCGGCGGCTGGTGACACCCCTCTCTGTTGCGGTCTGTGGCAGGGCGGTTCTATCGGCGTGGGGAGGTTTTCTGGCTGTCGGAGCAGTGCTCTCAGAAGTGCCGCTGCCTGGACCTCGAGAATGAGATTGTGTGCCAGGAGCTGCCCTGCGGGCCGCTGCAGACCTGTGAGCTCCAGGAGGGCACGTACCACTGCCAGCCCACCCGTACCAGCACCTGCGTGGTGTTCGGCGACCCCCACTACCACACCTTCGACGGCTTCCTCTACCACTTCCAGGGCACCTGCTCCTACCTGCTGGCTAGGCCCTGCTGGGACATCCCCGGCCTGCCCTCCTTCAGTGTGGAGGCCAAGAATGAAAACCGTGTGGGCACCGCGGTTTCCTGGCTGCGCGATGTGTGGGTGGAGGTGTACGGGCACCGCGTCACGCTACCCAAGGGCAGCCTGGGCACTGTACAGGTGAGACAGCGGGCATGATGCTGCCAAACTACAGCTCACCTTTATGGCACCTATGCTCATAAAACAGAGCAAAGTGTAGGGAGAAATGATGGGAAGAGTAGTGTACAGAGGCAAACCCCTGGGGAATCACAGGGGTGCCCGAGAGGCAGATATTCTTTATCATGTGCGAAATGTCAACAATCCCACCCTGACCTGCCCCCTCCTTCCCCCTCCTTCAGGTGGACGGCCTAGTGAAAACTCTGCCCGTGCAGCTGCAGCTTGGCGCTCTGCGGGTGTACCAGTCTGGCGTGGCGGTTGCCCTGGAGACAGACTTCGGCCTGCTGGTGACCTACGATGGACAGCACTACGCCTCCATATCCCTGCCCAGCTCCTACTTCAACAACACCTGCGGCCTCTGCGGGAACTACAACGACGACCCCGCAGATGACCCCGTGCTGCCCAGTGGCGCGCTGGCAGAAAGTGTGGTGGAGCTGGGGGGGGGCTGGCAGGTGGAGGATGCAGACTGGCGCTGCTCAGATGGCTGCGCCCAGAACTGCAGCCTCTGTGATGCTGCCACCGAGTCCTTCTACTTTCGACCGGACTACTGCGGCATCATCAACAAGACGGACGGGCCCTTCCGGGACTGCCGGACCGTGGTGGACCCCACTGCCTTTGTCTACAGCTGCGTCTACGACATGTGCAGCAACCGCGACAACATCACCACTCTCTGCCAGGCAATCCAGGCCTATGCTCTGGCCTGCCAGGCCCTGGGTGTCACCATCCGCTCCTGGAGGTCCCGTACCTTCTGTGGTAAGAGCCCGCTCTCTCTGTATTGCTGACTCAAATTGAACTCATCTGCTCCCTGCGGAGGCAGTTCGATTGGCAGTGAAACAGCAGTCCCTGCAGGTGCTGATGCTGACAGCTACGCTCTTGTGCCAGCAGGAAGGGCATCGCCCTGGCACTGCCTTCTCTCGCCGCGGCCTGTTTTTTGGGTCGTGAAGTCAGAGATCTTTATCGACCTTGTGTCATCTTTCACAACAGCGCTGTCCTGCCCAGAGTTCAGCCACTACCAGGTGTGCACCAGCAGCTGCCCGCCGTCCTGTTCCGACCTGACGTCCCACCTGTACTGTGCCCACCCCTGCACCGAGGGCTGCCAGTGCGGCGAGGGCTACGTGCTCAGTGGCAGCCGCTGCGTGCCGCTGCACGAGTGTGGCTGTGAGCGGGATGGACTGTACTACCCCTTGAACGAGTCCTTCTGGGCTGGGCCGGCGGGGGACTGCTCACAGCGGTGTGTGTGCGGACCCCAGGGGGAGATCTCCTGCTTCAACGACTCCTGTGGGGAAGGCGAGGTGTGCACAGCAGAGCTGGGCCGGCTGGGCTGCTACCCCCGCCGGGAGGGTGTCTGCTCTGTGGCACAGAGCCAGGTGATCGCCACCTTCGACGGTGCCGCCCTCCCCTTCCCTGACGAAAATTCCTACTTTCTGCTGAAGCCATGTGGAGCTGGGGGGATCAATGTTTCCGCGCCGGAGGTAAAGATCGGGCGCCGGTTGGGGAGCAAGGGTCCATCCTGGGTCAGGCCGGTGGTGGCCAGGTTGGCAGATCTGGAGGTGCAGCTGGGAGGTACCGACTTCGATACTGTAAAGGTATGTGTCCCACTGAACAAGACCTTCCTGGGTGAAAATAAGACAGTCCAGGGCCAGTGAGGTCATCCCTAATGAGGACTTGAAAACAAATTCAAACTTAAACTTGCATGAAATCGTTTAAAAGTATTCAAAACAGTCACAGAGCGGTCTCCCGGCTCTGCTGACAGCGTCTTTTACCGCGATGCCTTGCGCAGCGCAGGAACAGCGGCGCTGAATTCAAATGTTTGCAGAAGATCCCCGGCCACAACCGGTCTCTGTCGAATTTCAAAGTTTGTATTTGCGAAATTTCGTTCTTGACGAACTACAAGGTACAAACTCTTCATGTTCGGATTAGCGAAAATTCCTCTACGAAAGCTTGTGCTCTGATTTTCAAATGGTTTTTGTGTTTGTGTCGTAGTTGCTGTTCATCATGGGCCCTAAGGAAGAGTTTGTTTCACGTGTTTTATTTCATTCTGACTGGGGTTTTTTATTTTTCTTATCCATTTTATCGTAATAGTCGACAGCAGTATACACGTCGTTCTAGCAGTTCGCTTGCAAAAAAAAATCTTAATATGACATCATTAATTATTTTACAGTTATAGTTGGCTTATTTGAGTAGAACTGCGTTGTTTATGAAGCTTGCTATAATGTTCTGACGAGGCTGAAGATGGCTTCTTATTCGCGTTTTTCGTTCCACCTTAAATGCGACTGCTGTGATGTTAAATCACCTTTCGCCTGAAGATGGCTCTCTACAGTCATGTTTAAAAACTAATCCGGATGGATTACTGTGTTTATCCTCAGTAAAGGGGAATATGTAAGTAGTGACTGTCCAAATTGCATTTTTGTATGAAACACATTTCAGAAAATCAGAAAACCAGTTTTCAAAACTCACAATAACCCAAACTGTCGTGTTAGACAACGAGTAAATAAGACAAAGGCGAAGCATGAATTCACTGGCACATATTGCATATTCACCACGACCTTGCCTTCTGATCATTAAAAGTCTTAAAATCTTGCATTTTGCAAGAAAGTTTAATGTAGCAGTTTTAAACGGGAGGGAGGCCCATAGCAAGAGAGCAGAAAGTGCAATCACCTTTTCCCAATGTATTCTGATATGCCATGTTCAGAGGGTCATATGTAAAAAAATGGTACAGTAAAATTTCTTGTGCTTCAGGATTTTGATAGTCTGTTACATTGTCTCCCACACCCCGGTGTCAGAATTGTGAGACGTTTTTATAATCGGGGGGGAGGGCCATTGTAAAAAGGAGAAAGTGCAGTTTTTCCCAGTGCAAGTTAGTGTTATTGTGAGTTTTAAAAATTGGTTTGCGATTTCTAAAAATATATTCGATACCAAAATACAATTTGGACAGTCGCTATTTATTTGGATATTCCCTTTCACTGGATGTCTACAGAATTCAAGCCGGATTAGTATTGACCGAAGAGAGTCATCGACAGGCAAAAGGCGACATAACATCACTGCAGCAGCATTTAAGGTGGAAAAGGTCTGTACGGTATTATATGTTACTTAGTGAAGTTGTCTTCGGTTCAGAACGGGGTGGAATTTTTCCCATCAGGAATAACGTAATTTGTATTTTCGATTTAGATTTAGATTTAGATTTAGAATCTTAGAATTTAGAATTTAGAATCTCTCACTTTCCAAACCGATTTTCAGGAATGAATTAGGTGTGGATACTGGGGTATGAGTGTATATGTCATCAGTGTTTTGTCTGGTGAGAAGCATGGAAATGAACACCCCCCCTCTCCATTAACATTTCCAACTTTTGAACATTTGATTCATTGAACATTTGTGTGTTTTTCAAGAACAGAACTGCAGAGTTTAAGGTGGAATAGCTGGCTGGCTTATTAATGAGTGAGCTGTTACAGAAAAGGGCTCAAGCGCAGAAAGCAAGGTGAAGGAAAATGCAGATGCGTCTCTCAAGGAGAGCGGAGGCCTGATTCTAAGGGCTGTGTGTCACTCTGGGTGTTTTGTGCAGCTGAACGGAGATGCGGTCGTCCTGCCATATGTCCACCCCCTGGACACGCTGCTGATCTACCGGGCCCCAGGCAATGCCACCGTCGTGGAGTGGAGCGGGGTGCTGGCGGTGCGCTACACCCGGCAGGGCCTGCTCAACGTCACACTCTCCACCCTCTTCTACAATGCCACCTGCGGGCTGTGTGGGTTCTTCAACGGCAATGCCTCCGACGAGCTGCGGCTGCCCAGCGGGAAGCTGACGGACAACGCCGAGCTCTTCGCCGAGGGCTGGCGGGCCATCGCCGATGACCTGACGTGCAACGGCGACTGTGAAGACCTGTACCGTATGTGCGTGGACCTGCGGCTCTATCAGAGCCCTTGGCTGTGCGGAACGATCAATGACCCCGCTAACAGCTCTTTCCTGAGCTGCCACGCCGCCGTGAACCCCTCGCCCTTCTTCCGCAACTGCCTGTACAACATGTGCGTCCGGGAGGGCAACCGCTCGGCCCTCTGCTCCTCCTTGCAGGCGTACGCCTCTGCCTGCCACGATGCCCAGGTCAGCCTTGGACCCTGGAGGAGTGCCACCAGCTGCCGTATGTATCCGCTCTCTCTCTCACGAGCTCTTCTTAGCCCTGCCCATGCTGGGGACGGATTATATCACCGCTTGCATAGCACCTGATTCTTGTATCTTAATGTGACACAATAGTGCAAGAGTATATTAAATTGCAAAACTGCATTTGTTGTTAACCCTGCTATGGTAAACTGCCAGAGCATTAACATGACAGAGTATATAATGCAGTTGTATTGTACAACCATATTATATAATGGCTAGTTGGGCATCTGAGTAGGATTAACATAGAATTTGAACATTCTCCTCATAATCTCTTTGCTTTCTTTCAAAATAACCAAGCAAGCTAGATTAGCCAAACAGCCTCGTCTCATTTGCAGACTGTGAATGCATCTGTGTGGCTCCCTCACGCTGTCCTGTCCTCTGTGACCCTAGCTCTGCCCTGTCCTGAGTACAGCCACTTCGAGGAGTGCACGACCGCCTGCCCCCCCACCTGTGCCAACCTGGAGCCAGAGGGCATCTGCCCGCTGCCCTGCTCTGAGGGGTGCCAGTGTGATGACGGCTACGCACTGAAGGACGGCCAGTGCATTCCTAAGGCAGACTGTGGCTGCCAGTACCGGGGCCTGCAGCTGTCCACTAACGAGACCTTCTGGGTGGACTGGGAGTGCCAGGAGCTCTGCTACTGTAACGGCACCGACAACACTGTCTACTGCCACAGCGCCCCCTGCAGGCCGGAGGAGTACTGCCTGGAGGACAGTGGACTATACTTCTGTCAACCACGTACTGAGGCTGTCTGTATCGCTGCTGGCTACGGCCACTTCCTCCCCTTCAGTGGTGTGGCATTCGACCTGCAGAGCAGTTGCACACTGCGGCTGGCCAACACCTTGTGTGAGAGGGAGGAAGAGCTGGGGGGGCAGGGCGTGCCGCAGTTCAGTCTCTCAGCGCGGAGCGAAGATCGGCACACAGGCCAGGCCATCTGGGTGAAGGGTTTCATCCTGGAAGTGTATAACTATGAGATTGAAGTGTCCCGCAGCTACAAGCACACTATTACGGTAAGGAAGAGCTGGGAGAGGGGTTAGGACTTGGGTACAGTCCAGCAGATCAGGCCAATCGCCTTTTAATCCTTCATTCCTAAAAATTAGAACTCTTACCAAGGTCAAACAGTAAATTTACCAGTAAATTAAGTAATAACCAGTAATTTAAGGTCAAACTCTGAGTTACAAATAAACTAGAAAATAATTAAGAGGTCTGTTAAAGGAAAGTCGTTCTGCTTTCTCCTGCTTCTTCTACAGTCTTCTGCTTCACCTTGTGTTTCTGTGGTAGGTTGTGAAAGGGACAGCAGCACTGGCTTTCAAAGAAGATGCTCAGATGTGGAAGGCCTTAGTTCTGTCCACAGTCAGAGCTGTTTTCCTCTAAGTAAAATAATCTTATTATCCTTTCTCAGGTGAACAATGAGCGCCTGTATCTGCCCCTCAAGCTGGGCCCGGGAAAGGTCAACATTTTTACCTTTGGATTGCAGCTGGTGGTGGAGACGGACTTTGGGCTGAAGGTGGCCTACGACTGGAAGACCTCCCTGTCCTTGACCCTGCCACGTGACCTCTATAACGCCACCTGCGGCCTGTGCCAAGGTTTACCCCCTGGGCCACCAACACTCAGTGCGAATGACTGGGGCATGGCGTGGGCAGAGCGGGACACATTCTGCAGGGTGGGCTGTGGAGATGCGTGCCCCCGGTGTGCCCACCGAGAGGGAGGGGCGGCAGGCGACAGCGGGCTGGCGGACAATGGCGGAAACAACAATGGCAATAACAACAATGGCAATAACTACCACAACAACGGCGGCAACAACAACAACAACAACAATGCCCTCTACCTTGGGGAGCCTGTCAATGGCTACCTGGACCCTGAGGCCATGAGGCTTTGCAGCCTGATCCCTGACCGCAATGGGGCATTCTTCCGCTGTCACAGTAAGGTAGCGCCAGGGTACTTCTACCAAAACTGCCTGCAGGACAGCTGCATCGACCAGGGTGCACTGGACACCGTCTGCAACTGGTTGCAGATCTACGCCAGCATATGTCAGACACAGGGCATCCCTGTGATAGGCTGGAGGAATAACACACCATGTGGTGAGTTGTTCTCTCGTCTCCGTGCTGCCCTCTCCTCACCCCATTCTCAACTTCCTGGATCGTGGCTTTCTGTGTTTAGTTGTGGTCGGTGTGAAAACATTCATTCCAAAATGGATCAGAACGCACAGGAGCCCCGTACACAGTCGTAGCTGCAGTGGTATGTTGTGTCCCTAGTAGGGTCAGATTCCCAACTGAAAAGGCTTTGCAGTTCTCCCTTTACGAGCAACAGCAAACAAGAAGAAGTGAAAGAATGGTGTGTGTCAGGGCTCTGCGGGAGCAGGAGAGCTGGTCAGTGTCTTTGAGTTTTCTTTGTTCTTGCCCAGCTCTTAGCTGCCCAGCCAACAGCCACTATGAGAGCTGTATGGCTGTGTGTCAGCCTCAGTGCGCCCCTGCACGAGGACCACGGGACTGCAACCATTACTGCGTGGAGGGCTGTCAGTGTGACCAGGGCTTCGTCATCAACGGCAAGAGCTGCATCCTGTCCCAGAACTGTGGCTGCTACACAGATGGCAAGTACTACGAGGTGAGAGTGTTTGTTACTCTCCCATGTGCTTGTTTCTTTCCCTCCCGTGTGAGGTCCTGCGAGGTGAGAGATACTGAGAGAGTAGCTACCCACAAGACCCATCCCTGTCTCTGCTGCATGCTCCCTCGGTTTCTCCACATTCTCTTTCCTTCTCCTTCCCGTCCCTCAGCCCAAGCAGCTGTTCTGGAACGGCGACTGCACCAAGCGGTGCCAGTGCATCGGGCGCAACCTGATTCAGTGTGACCCGCGGAGGTGCAAGTCAGAGGAGGAGTGTGCCCTGCGGCACGGGGTGAGGGGCTGCTTCCCGCGGCGCAGCCAGCACTGCATCGCCTCGGGGGGCGGGGTCTTCCGCACCTTCGACGGCGCTTCACTGCGCCTGCCCGCCTCCTGCTCCTTTGTCTTGTCCACCATCTGCCACAAGCTGCCCGAGCTCTCCTTCCAGCTCATCGCCAACTTTGACAAGTGGAGCATGCCCAACCTCACCACCATCTCCCACGTCTACCTCTACATCAATGAAGAGAACATCCTCATCTCAGGCAACACTGTGAAGGTTCGTGGGCGGCATGAGGCAGTACTTGTCTCCGCGGTTTCTCCATAATGCCAGGGCCACCTAGTCATCCTGCTTCTGCTGCTGCCTTTGCTGTTATTGCCACTGCTGCTCCCAGTGATGATAACCTCACTGGTGCTATTGATCCTAGTAACAGTAATGAGAATATCGGTAATAGCAATAGTAAATCACCCTCTGGAGTAGGAGAATTGTGTCAGATCTTCTTGTTCATTGTGCATCAGAGAAGAGAGCTGTTCCAGAGCCTTGCTTAGAATTGCTCAGGAGCAAGCATCGGATGATAATACTAATAATAATAAATACTTTTAATTATAAAGATCAATTTCTATTTATAAAGTACCTTTCCAAACTGAAGGACTCTGTACATCATGAATAAAGAAAAAGACAAGAAAATTATCATAAAAGTAAATGGAAAAAAAAAACAAGAGCACACAGGTTTTTTTCAAGTTGACTGCACACAATCAGATGTAGGCTTTGGTAAAAAGATAGGTTTTAAGTTTAGATTTGAAGAGAGGAAAAGAAGTTGGCTCCCGTAAAGTCTGAGTAAGGTCATTCCACAGCACTGGAGCAGCAACAGAGAGGGCATGGTCACCAAATTGTCTGAATCAGGCACTCAGCATCAGACATTGATAAAAATTGCCTAATGCGGGCAATATTTCTAAGGTGAAAGAAAGAGGCCTTAATCATATTTTTCACATGTGGGTGAAAGAACAGGAGAGGATCAGTCCCAGATTCCTGACTATGGCTGATGCGTGGATGGGAAAAACCATCCACCATTACTGTAAAACTCTTTATCCAGAAGTTTATCCAGCTAAGTTTTGCTGCCCACCAGTAAAATTTCTTCTTTGCCACTATTTAGCTTTAGGGAATTTGATGTCAACCAGAGTTTGATGTCATGCAAACAAGAGATACGTGACGGGAGAGACCAGAGGGGAAAGGAGATTTTACATCAATCTGAGGACTATAGCCCCTGAATTGGAGACAATAAGTAGGTTGTTCATAACCCTGATAAGAGCTGTCTCAGTGCTATGATTTGAGTGGACACCAGACTTAAAAAGCTCAAACAAGTCATCAGCTATCATATGTGCCTATAGTTGATATGCAACCACATGCTCTAAAACTTTCGGTACAAATGGTAAATTAGAGATTGGTCTGTAGTTATTCATTATATCAGAGTCCAAGCATAGAGGTCTGGGGTGGCGGAGAGAGCAGAGTTTTCAGGGGGTTTAGTGATCTTATTGATGAGAGCGCTTTATGATTTCCTAGTCCTGAGCTAATTGTATAAGAGATATAGGAGGAGCTGGCAGTAGCTAGAGGAAGCTCTGTAGACTTGTAGGTGTTTGTTATAAGCCCGAAGTTCAGGTGTGTACCATTGAGAGGAACCCTTGAAGGAAACTGTACCATTGAGAGGAACGCTTGAAGGAAACTGAGTGAGTTCATCCAAAGTACTAGTCAATGCAGTGTTTAGATTATTGACAAGGTCAGCTATTGTAGTTGACCAGTTTTGTCAAAGGGGACATGAATGTTAAAATCACCAGGCATTAAGACTGGACAGGTCATACTGCTTAGTGTTGTCAGCAGTGCTGATACAAAGACAGAGCAGGAATTAGGAGGACGATAAACGGTTATAATCAACAATGGAGTTTAAGGGCAAGGTATTCAAAGGAGGTGACAGAGTAAATAGAGAGCTCCTTGATATAATTATCTTCCCTGTAAACTACAACCAACATAAGCAAACATAAGCAAAACCTGGAGGGATAGTTTGATTTAATAAAATAAATTCATTTGGTTGTTGCCAGGCTTCAGTCATGCACAGAATGTCAATGCATCTATCAGTCATTTGATTTAGAGAGCAGTTGTTTATGAGTGCAAATTTAATGTCATGTTGATTTGCTGGAGCGAAAGAGGATTCCTCAGACAACGCAGCAGCCATAGGTATGAACAGTAACGCAATGGTGTTTATTCAGTAATGAAGGAGCAGCTTGCCATTTCTGTGGTTATGCCAATCCAACCAGATGCTTGGAGTACAGCCAAGCATCACAGATTGTATAAGCCGCCCCCCTGCCCCCTGGTCACCTCTGTGCAGGTGCCTTGGACAAATGATACAACCTAGATCCCTGAGCTAACGGAGGGCCGAAGGAAAGGTATAGGCACGCAGGGCAACGCAGGAGCTCAGAAATGGAGTGCTTCAGTTCGGCCATGGTACGTGTGGAGGCATTGTGTCAACGTTGCAGAGCAGTTTAGTAGGAGTGGTCCTTAGCAGCGGAAGAATAGGCGACAGGGAAACCCTTCAGCAGCTTGTAGCAAGTTAGAATAACCAGATGCAGTAGACAGGACCCAACAAGACAAATAAAACAAATAGATTAAACAGACATGTGTATGTATCTAAAAAATTAAGAAATGAGAAAAAACAACAGCAAAAATAAAATGGTAGAAAAGCAGGAGCCAAAAAGCACTCAGTGTACTCTCAGACCGGAACTGGAAAAGGGTTAGACAAGAAAATAAGTGCAGAATGGCCAAGGCTGCGTTCAGAGGATTAAAAGCAGTGGGTAGATCAGGTGGGAGGTGCTGTCTGATGATGGTAATTCACCTTTGTGCTGCCTCATGCAGGTGAACGGGACACCGGTGTCGGTGCCCTTCGTCACGGGGCTGATGACCAGGGTGTCCAGCTCCGAGGGCTTTCTGGTGATTGATACTGTACAGGACATCCAGGTGCGTTACAACCGCTTCAATACACTACGGATCAGCATGGGACCCCGGCTGCAGAACAAGGTTTGTGGTCTGTGTGGCAACTACAATGGCGATCCCACAGATGACTACATCACATCCCGAGGCAAGCCTGCTGTCAGTGCCATGGAGCTGGCCCAGAGCTGGAAAACCAATGGCATGCAGAACAGGTGAGCTTTTCTGTGCCCTGCTCTTTTTTCCTGTGCATGTGGGATGTGTTGCAATGGGAAATTCATTGGAAAGAGTAGCTGCAGTTGACAAAAGAAAAATGGTCAACCCTGGAGGAGACTGAAAATAGAAGGAGATACAAGAGCTTCTCTGAGATCTGCTTGGCTAACCTTCTAACCTCTGTGAGGGCACCGGCTGACGCATCTGCTTTCTCCCAGTTGTGATGAGACCCAGTACATGGCACTGGCCCAGTCATGTGACAACACTGCCATTGCGGCGCTTCAGGGGGAGGATGGCTGCCTGAAGCTCACCCAGATGAAGGGCTTCTTCCAGCCCTGCCACGGCCTGTTGGACCCCCAGCCCTTTTTTGAGTCGTGCTACCTGGATGGCTGCTACAACCAGCAGAAGGCCCAGGTCTGCGGGTCACTCGCTGCCTACGCTGAGGCCTGCCGCTCCTTTGGGACGCTTAGCACCAAGTGGATAACCCAGGAGAACTGCTGTAAGGGGAGAGTGCCACCTGGTGGCAAAGGGGAGAAGGTGTCGGGAGGGGAGGGACTCTTCATGCTTTATAAACGCTCTTGGGGCGTACTAAGCTCTTTAACACACTTAATAGGGAGCAAGCAAACTCTAAGACCACAGTGTGTGTGTATTTATCAGTGTAGGAAATGGTAATGCCTTGAGGGACATGCGTAGGAAAAGGGGTCACAGTTTTCACTTGTGTGTCACATTAGAACTACTATCATAAGATAAAACATGCCCAATCTTGGCGTGGGTGTTTGGTATTAGGGTCAGTTGGTCATGGGACTAATAGGCAGTCTGGGACTAATAGGTTGCTGATGAGATAATATTAAATGGGGTCTGTTTTCCCATTTTGTGTTAAGAGCTAATTGTTCAATTGTGAGATCAGTAATTGCAAGATATTGTTAAATGTGACAAGACCAGGAGAAAATAATTACAAGGTCACAGTAACATCACTGTTATCTGCTACTTCGGCTCGGCTTGATGGTGGTGAAGCTGATGGGGTGTGTGGGTGTGTCTTTAGCAGAATGGATCTATGACCCCTGCGTGGAGGAGGTCTGCACGAACAACACCTGCGAGCAGGAGAATGGGGGAGACCTGTGTGGGTGTCCAGAGCTTCAGGACAGTGGAAATGGTGAGGAAGCAGGAGGAAGAGGAGGAGGAGGGCAGAGACAGGACATGAGGCTAGAAACTCCACCTTCTCCTTTTGGGGAAGTGGACTTTATCCTTAGTCAGAACATGTATAGAAATTCAAACAAAAAAGCCAAATCCAGCATTTTACTGTCACAAAGATTCCTTCATTGTGTCTAAACTGTCTGATTGAAATGGAAAGCTGATTTAGTTTCTCAGTATGTGATCTACATGATGTAAATGAGCTTGATTGCTGAGCTCACGTTGCTGTGAAAGTAAATTAAGACAGAAGTGTTAGGAGAGATGAGAGGGGTTTTGGGAAGAGCTAAGTGTAGAGACACCAGAGGGCGTGGTCAGGCCACTTTGGGTCACAAGCTGTGTGGTCTGCAGGAGACGATGACATCATCCAAGCAGAGGTCATGTGCAAACACTCCCAGATGGAGGTGTTCATCTCCAAGTGCAAACTTTTCCAGCTGGGCTTTGAGAGGGAGGATGTGCGTATCAATGACCAGCATTGCTCTGGCATCGAGGGCGAGGACTTCATTTCCTTCCAGATCAACAACACCAAAGGGCACTGTGGCTCCATTGTGCAGGTACAGCACCCCTCTCCATACAAAGCAAATCAACACTCTCCACTGTGCTGCACTTTCTCTGGTACATTGTCATTCAGGACTTTGAGGAGAAAACTTTGTTTTAAGAGCAGATCTGATTTATTTTACTGCCAATTAATTGAATACCAAGTAAAGATGGATTCATTGTGTTGCCCTGCTTTAAATGTGCTTGCAGTCCAATGGCACTCACATTATGTACAAGAACACGGTGTGGATTGAGAGTGTGAACAACACAGGGAACCTCATCACCAGGGACAAGACCATCAATGTGGAGTTCTCCTGTGCCTACGAGCTGGACATCAAGATCTCGCTGGAGACAGTTGTGAAACCCATGCTCAGGTGAGGTCTCTGCTGTCTCTCAAGTCACACCTGGGTCTCATTTCTACAGCTGCACTGTGGCATTCTGGGACATGAGCCCAAGCAGGGGATAGAGCAGTATGAATACGTGTGTGGATAAGTGTGGTAGAGCAGAGCAGAGTAGAGTAGGGTGATATCATGGTAAGGCATAGAGGCTTGTGGGAGCCAAGAGGCTCTGAGTGTTCTCAGGGACAGAGATTAGTCTGGTTATAAAGGAAAGAGTCAGGGATTACTGACTCAAGGTGAATCTGCCCTGAGCACTGAAAACAACAAACTGACATACAAGACAGTGTCCTTCTCAATTATCCTCCCCCTCTCTTCTCTCTTCTCTGTTCTCTCTCCAGTGTGATCAACCTCACCTTGCCCACTCAGGAGGGCAGCTTCATTACCAAGATGGCTCTCTACAAGAATGCTTCTTACCGGCAACCATACCGTGAGGGGGAGGTGGTGCTTAGCACACGGGATGTCCTGTATGTGGGCGTGTTCGTGGAAGGGGCCGACCAGCACCAGCTCATCCTCATCGTCAACATGTGCTGGGCCACGCCGTCTCGGCACAGCAGTGACCGGCTGCGCTACATCATCATAGAGAGGGGGTAGCTGTCACCACACACACGCTCGGAGCTCTGCACCGAATTTAAAACGTACTCCATACTCAGTGCTATATCATCTCTTCACTATTCTAGACACAGACCTAGAAAAGAATATTACACAGATCCACACCCCATGCTGTTTATACCCCTGATTTTTCCTCTACAGCAGGGGTCCCCTGTCCTAGCCTTCAAGAGCTACAATGCAGCAGAGTATTTGGAGAATATGAGCATATAACATCCTGAGGACAAGAGGTCCTTCAATCCCTTTCTTACAGACTTAGGAAGTGTTCAAATACCTTCTGCATTGTGACCCTCATGCCCTGGACTCCAGGTTCCTACACGAAGGCAGTGGATCCAGGCAGAGAGAGTCCAGAGGTTTCCTGGAAAAGCAAATCAAACTTACAGCCATGGCTAGCTGTACTATCATGAAAACATGTATCCTGACTGATTACCGAGGACAAGCTCCTTTACAGCACTTCCTGTGCAGGGGTGCCAGGTGACATTGCAGGTTTGTGGTGGAGGGAATTTGAACAGGAGTGAAAGGATGCTGGTTATGACAACATGTGCTATTCTCAGGTGCCCCAACATAAAAGACAACACCATTGGAATGGAGGAGAATGGGATGTCTCTCACCTGCCGTTTCCATGTCACTGTGTTTAAGTTCATTGGCGACTATGATGAGGTGCACCTGCACTGCGATGTCTCGCTGTGCGACTCTGAGAGACATGCCTGCAAAGTGGTGAGCCCTCCTCTGTTCTGCGGGAACACATGTTACTTGTTGCCTCCTTCCTGTTGAAAGAACAGTGATGTTCCCATCACAGATTGCTGAACCTGGTTCACCATCCTGGTTTCTTGCAGGTTCATAAAGCTACAGTAATCCCTCAACTTTGGATTTAACGGACTTTATCTGCTAAAGGGGAATTATGTCTGTAAAATAGCAATATTCTCTGCAATAGCAATAATGAAAAGCAGAAATAATAGAATTAAGTTTTGATTTTGGGTTGAAAAAAAACAATTTGTGATTAACAAGCATTAGGCAATAACGTTCACTCCTCCCCCCCATTTGTCTGTTAAACCAAGATGTTGTAGGTTTCAAGTCCTGTTCTTTAGGTCCTCTAACTATAGGAAGACACCATCTATAAGGTCACAATATAGACTCTTTAGCACTGCACTATTCCAAAACATAGTATCCTCACCTCACCGTGGAGTGAGACACCATCATCCTGTGCTTTTGTGCAGAACTGTCCGCATGGTTCCAGAATGTACTCTGACCTTGGCAGCCAGCACAAGGAGCAGATTCTGACTGTGGGCCCTATTCGGAGGAGAGGTGAGAAAGGAACTCTTACACTGTTCTCACATCTTTCACACAGTCCTGGGCTGTAATATGGTGCTACACAGCTAGATATAATCTAAAATAAGTTAATTCTTTATGACATTTTAACAATCGCCAGAATAAGTACGTCAGTCAGCCTTGAAGTGCTTTCTTACACTATAGGGTTTCTGTAATTAAGGATTGTTAATAAAATGCAACACTATATGTTGGTGAATTACTCTGTTTCACACACAGGGGGGCAATAACAGGCCAAAGTAACCCAGAGACAGGAGGCTAATGGCCTGTGGCTTCTTCCCTGCAGAGTCGGACTGGTGTGAGGAAAACAATGGTGGCTGCGAGCAGATTTGCACCAGTCAGTTCGCTGGGCCAGTGTGCAGCTGTGTGACGGGGACACTGCAGCAGGACGGGAAAAGTTGTCTGGGTGAGTATGACCCTGTGTGAGCACGTAATGACTGGAACGTCCAGCAGCAGGAGGGCACGTCTGACTACCATGTAGGTTCTTGGTGCAGGTGTCACAGATAGGTGACCCCTTCAAACAAGCCTTATTCCTGCTTTATACTAGAAATTATAAAGCCTCTTACTTTTCTTGCCACTGGTTCTATTTACTTCCCACTAGTGCATCCACAGACCAGACTAGTTATCATGTGTAATATCCAATTTATAGCAATCTATCGGTCTTCCCATCACACAAAGGTAGCCTCATAACACAATTTAAATAGTTCTATACATAAAAAATAAGACATCACGTCCACCAGAGGCACTTACTGTCCAAACAGTTAAAAATCCTCATGGGACTCTGTTACCAAACAAAAAAGTAAAGGAATGAAACTCAGTGTAGTCCTTCAGCTCTTTGGCAACTTGGCCTTCCCAAACAATGTATTTCCTTTACGCTTCACCCCTACCTTAATTTCTCTGAGCCCCATGTCGGGTAGGTGAGGAGGAAGATGATGCCGTGACCTCCTGCTGCTTCTCCATGTAGAATCCCATGTGTCAGCGCCTTCACCTGGGTCTGATGCTGTAGTCTCTTTCTCCAGCCTTGTTTGCTCTGACATCCTGACGGGCTTTTTATGACTCTTCCCCTGGGTGAAGGAAGCTTTGAGTGCTCCTTTAGGAAGTGACTGTCCAAACATGGCCAATATGGCCAACTGTGCTGATGCATTGTTCCATCTTATCCCGTTCTCAGGCCCACATCTGAACTGGGTCCTCTCAAACCTGTTTGGCAACCCCACGTGACCTCTTGAATAGTGTGGTAATTGCACAGTGTCTGTGTTCAGATTGCCTTTGGCCTTGATTTTCTTTGAATTATTGATTTTACGGTTTGAGGCAGGAATTCAAAGAATGGGGCATTCAGGTGTCACTGACATATCAATGCAATTGACATCCACATAGCCCCTGACACCTGGCGCCCAACACCCATTCTTTCCAGTCTTGCAAAGTGACACAAGACTGTGAATCTGGACTCACAGCAGTCTCAGGCAGCACTCCAGCTGCTCAGACCACAGAGCTCAAATGAGTGTTGCAGTAAAGCCTCAGTTCTCTGGAAATTGTCGTGTGATTCTCAATTTATATTGTGACAAATGGGGTGTTCTGAAAATGTGAAATATCAGTAACTGACTTGGCAAATTAGTCAATAAAAAAACAAATATACATAACCCCTAACTTATAAGTGATTTCTACCAGAATACACCCAAACAGTTGATATAGACAGAGGCACTGGAATTGTCTGTTTCTGGAGTGTTGATTGACACTTAATCATTTACCCACATTTAAATAAACTAAGATAAACCAAAGTAAACTTTGATTGCTTTGAACCCAGACTTTGGTCCCCCAACATCTCAGCAGACACCTCCCTCTGCTTGAAGCTGGAAATGTTTGCTCTACCAGGTGTTACACTCTTTATACAGAGCCTTAGATACCTCTGTTGTCACTTACCTCAACTTGTAACAGTATTGATAGTTTATATTTTTGCTACCTTCATAAAGTGCTGCATTTGTTTACTTTAGGTGTCATCTGCTTGGTGTTATATCAATTTTTGAATCCTAATCATTTTGAACTTCATTTTCGACCTCTGCAATGTTTGCTAATGCTACTGCTTCGGTGTCCTATTTGAACGTGACTAGATTTGTGCCATGATATTGAGCTTTTAATGTGTATTAGGATGAGCAGTGAGCTTAAATGCATCAGGTCAGTGATGAAGCCCTGTTACTAATTGATCATTAACAAGGACTTCCCTTTTCCTCCTCAAAGCTTCAAATTCCTGTGGTGACCTTCGACCCCTGGTATTCATCCTTATCACCAGTGCTGTGAGCAGCTGGCTGCTGGTTAACACACAGACCTGCGCCTCCTAACCAGAAAAGAATGGGGAGAGTGTGAGAGAAGGGAAAGGGGAGACCCATAGGGTACTGCCTGCCTTATATAAAGACATTGTCCTGCTGTTCTTTCACAGCTGCCTTCACAGCAATAAACACAGCCTTAACCCGAAATGCTCTATTACAACACTGCCTGAAAGAGGAAGAAGCCCTGAACTTTGCTGAATCAGTCTGCCACAAATCAAGTACAACTACTACACCTGAGGAATACTGTCGCTATTACCAAAAATGTCAAGAGGAAAGGGGCACACTACTCTTTAGTATTTCTGCAATAAACCATTTATAGTGCTATCATCTAGTGAGGCATGGTAATGGTTCCTGGTCCAGTTCTTGTTGTTGGTCTGCACAAGTCTGTCCGTTTTCATTGGGCCAAATTAGTGGGTTGTGGTCAAATTGATCTCTATTGTTCTACAGTTGTAGATGTAAGTATTGGTACCCTTTATCTGAAACAAGATGCATTTACAAAACTTATACAATAAGGGTAATTAATGATTTGACATTACTTTGTCAATGGTACGTCATCAAAGATTTATCAAACGTTTCTTCATCCTAGCAGCTAGTAATTAAGAAGCTATAGTTAATTAATTTAAGATACAGGGTGTCAATACTTCGGACAGTAAATGTCTGTGTTCTGTAGGGTTTGTGCAAGTGCTGACTTTGCTTTCTGGTAGTTTATTCTTCTCACAGGAAAAGGCTCCACAATGTTGATTTTACTGATGGAAAAATGAAAAGAGGTGTACCTGAGAACAGAAACTTATTCTTGTGAATTAAATGGCTTCCCCATGAATAAAAAGACATTTCATTTCCTGAACTTCAATTCCTGTAGAGTGCCTGTGAATGATTGGAGAATGCATCCTTCCACACACAAGTGCACCCACCTGTGTTTCAAAAAGAAGGAAGTAGAAGAAAGAAAAGACTACCTTCAGAGACTGACTGCAGACCTGGGGAGACTCCATGACCCCTGTTCTGTAGAGCAGAACCAGGTCTGCAGTCAGTGCTCTAACTGAAGACGGCGCAGACGGGGAATGCTACTGTCCTGCAAGCTCCCGTTCATTTCTTTCCTTCACATGGTCTTTTGTACTGCTAACTGCACATGTTGTTTGCTCGGTGATTAGATATGACTGACAAATACTTACAGATATAAGATTGACTATTGGCACAGTTAAATTTATACCAATATTAACTGTGGACTATCTGGACTGTGGTGTCTCACCTGTACTTGTACTGGGGAGAAGACGGCGTCGTAGGAAGAGGGGTAAACGGGCAGGCGTTCTGGTAAGATTGAGGCGGCGCGGCACTCTCTATACTTTGTGTGCACCATCTCTTTTCTACAATCATCATCTTTTGTCTGATGGACCATCACTATTTTATATTCTTCAGTCTCTCTATTCTAAAACCCTCAGTCTCACTTGACTCTAATGGGATGTTCCTTTTCTATACAGGAGCATCA